TCCCCACCCCACCCCCAACCATAACATTATTTTTGTTGCTACTGTTAGGCAGAAGCGGGAGTTAGCAGGGGAGCGGGCTAGGAGATAGAGCTGGTAAAAGCACTTTAAGGACTCTATGAGAGGCCAGACCCCCCCTTCCCCCTCCCGTCCCTTCCCTCCTGGGAGCTCTGAAATAAACATCTGAAACTGGTTTCTACATTTGCTTTCTTTCTTCCTGTCCCCAAATCAACCTCACAGCTACTTCAGAACTATAATTTTGCTACTGTTATGAATCGGGTGACCCCGGTGAAAGGGTCGTTCGACCCCCGAAGGGTTGAGACCCACAGGTTGAGAACTGCTGGCCTGGATGCTAAATCTTTATGGGAGTAGAAACCCTCATCTTTCTACTGTAGAGTGATTGGTGGTTTTAAACTGCTGGCCTTGCGGTGAGTAGCTCAACCCGCTGCACCATGAGAACTCTTGCACAGCGTGACAGTTCCCACATCAGTCACACTGTCGTGAGACACTGCAAACACACTTCCACCTTTGCACCAATCCCTTTGGAAGGCTCTGCTCCCAGCAGTTGGCTCTCACCTGTGAGTTTTTCTTTACCCTTTCTTTACTTTGTCTGCTGGGCTATCCCTGATCACTCTGTTAAAAAGCCCAAGGCTCTCCCCACCATCCCCAACCCCCAAGTTAATTTTCTCCATAACTCCTGACATACTATATGCTTTACCTCATACTTGTTAATTGTCCATCTCCCTCCTCCAAAGAGTAACCTGTTTTGTTCTCTGTTGTATCCCAGTTGCTTGGAACAGTAGGGGGGTTAGGGGGCGGTGGGGGTGGGGGAGAGAAGAATAGTACCTGCACATTAAAAGAAACCCCCAAATCCAGATGTCATCAAGCTGATTCTGACACATGACAATCTCAGAATAGAAGCACACTCTATAGGGTCTTTAGTGGTTCATATTTTGGAATCCCATCAACAGGCCTTTCTTCAGAGACACCTCTGGGTGGGTTTTAACCACCCACTTTTTAGGTAGTAGCTGAGCATTTAACTGGTTTTGACACCGAGGGAAACTTGGCACATTAACCCACTGCTGTAGCGTCAATTCTGACTGGTGGTGACCCTGTGGGACAAAACAGACTGCCGTTTGGGGTTCTGAACTGTCAGTCTTTATGGGAGCAGACAGCCTCATTTTGCTCAGAGCTGGCAGCCTTTCTCTGTACAGGGAGACCGCAAATATCTTCAGCTTTTTGAATGTTACAACCTGTTAAAGAGGAAGGAACAGTAGTTGGAAAATAGGGACTTGATGATAGAAATGAAGCTGGAGATCGCAGAATAGAATTTTGCTAAAACAACGACTTGTTCACAGCAAATACCCTTTTTTCAGCAACACCAAAGGCAAGCTGTATACATGAAATTTCCCAGATGGAATACACAGAACTCAAATCAGTTGCATCAGTGTGAAGACACATGGAAAAGCTCAGTATCACCAGGAAAAACCGGGCCAGGAGTGGGCTATCCAGCAGACTATCGATTGCTCATAAGTAAGTTTAGGATAAAGTAGAAGAAAATTAAAACAAGTCCACAAGAGCCAAAATGTGACCTTAAGTCTATCCCACCTGAATTTCAAGATCATCTCACCAACAGATTTGACACATCAAACACTAATGACAGAAGACTGATGAGCTGTGGGAGGACATTAAGACCTTCACTCCCCACCCCCACACACGCACACAATCACTGAAGACAAGACGGTGCATCAGCAGATGTGGAGAAGACAGAGGATGGTGCCCGGCTATTGCAAGATACAGCGTCTGGGGTCTTACAGGCTTGACGTTAAACAAGCAGCCATCCAACAGTGAAGCAACAAGCCCACATGGAGGAAGCACACCAGCCAGTGCAACCGTGAGGTGTCGAGACCAGGCAACAGGCATCAGAAGATTTACAACAAACAGTAAACAAACAAGCAAAAATGGATTGGTGAGAATGGAGGGGGGTTAGGGCAGAGACCCAAAGCCCATCTATGGACAATGGAACATCCCCCCCCCCACCACAGAGGGGTTGCAGGGAGGGAATGAGTCAATCAGGGTGCAGTAGAGCACTAATGGGTCACAAAATATACCTCTGATCCCTTGAGGCCTCCTCATCACCCACCACCCCACCCATATCATGACCCCAGTGCTGCTTCCCAATCTAGACTAGACAATAAAGAGATAAAACTCACAACACTTGGAACCCAGGAACAGGATTGGGAATAGAGATACCAAAAGGGTAGGGGGAAGGGGGGGGAAGAGGAGGGGAGGGAGGAGGGCACCGATCACCATAAATGGCACATAACCACACCCCCCATCCAGGGGGAAGAACAACAGAAACTAGAGGGGAAGGGAGACAGTGGTCTGTGTGAGATTTGATAATAATCTACAATCTATCAAGGGGCCATGAGGGTTGGGGTGGGGGGAGGAGGGAGGGAAAAAAGAGGAGCTGATTCCAAAGGCTCAATAGAAAGTAAATGTCTAGAAAATGTATGTACTGATATCAGATTCAATTGATGTATGGATTGTAATAAGAGTTGTAAGAGCCTCCAATAAAATGATTACAAGATGTCATTTATTCACTCACACAAAAAAAGCCCATCATTCATGAAGAACGCAAAAGGT